GATTTCAAATAAAACCTGAAACTTTGAAATAAATAAGAGAGTAAGAGTTTCAGGTTGTTTTTCAATTTTTACGACATTTCGGGATCTTAAGAGATAGTTTACTATCACTAAGTGACTACACATTTCAAATTCGCAGCTAGACTCCAAAATTATTAATGAAGATTTTGCAAAGTAATGGTACTAGAATTGACTCTTGTGTCATCTCAGATGTGACTTTATGATCACAATCAACATATTCATTAAAACGATCCTACATGTTTATTTTATACACCCCTGTTAATCCCCCAGCACAATCACTTTAGATTTATACATTTATTCTCAGGTTATAATTTTGAAATCAATTCACGAATTTTTTGCTCTTTATTTGAAAGATATAGCTTGGCAGAATCCAATCACAGAAAAAACATTTTGATGAATTAGGTTATGTCATAATTTTGGAATCATTTCAGTCTCATTTTTCGTCATATCACCGATTCATCATTTGTTTTTTTTTATAAATGAATTGGATTTTGCTAGCTTTACCATTAAGCTGACTGAATCATATGTAAAGTTTTAATTTGCCTAATTTTAGGCTTATTTTATGATCCTTCATTACGCTAATGGAAACTAATTCGAATTTGAAATTTTTTCTTGATTTCTTTTTAATTCTTTCAGAAGATTATTATATATTCAACACCAAAATGGCATATTTCACAATTTTTCAGTGATATGAAACAAGTTGTTGTTTGCTTTGTCTTGTATTATGATTATGGTATTTATTTCTCTGAAATTTGAAGTTGCATTTTTGTGATATTTTTTTAAATGATATTATTATTAATTCGATATTCACTTTGATTTGATATCAATTGTAGACAAAGATCTATTTAACAATATATTATGTATTACTTATACTACTCATACTTAACTGAACGTATCATATTCGTAGATTATAGAGGTCACAAGTCGTTCCAATTTATTGCTAACAGTGGTGCCCCTCAAGGAAGCAATTTAGCACCTCTTTTATTCTCACTTTTCATTAACGACATAGGAAATAATCTCTCTAGTAACTTCTTATTCTTTGCAGATGATTTGAAAATCTTTCAGCCCATTACATCAGAGGACTGCTCAATCTTACAAAAAGACCTTGACTTTTTGTACCTTTGGTGTACCAAAAATAATCTTCCCTTCAACACAAACAAATGTAAATACTCAAAATACACCCTTAAACATAATGTTATTTCTCATGATTACTGCATAAATAACACACCTCTACAAATAAGCACTCTTCAAAGGGATAATGAGGAGGTGCACCATCCTGCTGAAAAAATATTTCGTTTTCGAATAAATTTACCTATATCCTTCTCAATTGCCCTATTGATACACGGTATTATTCGATTCTTCAACATATCCAAATATTTATCACAAGGCAAATTTTCATCGACAAAAAAAGGTCCTATTATGTCAACTAAAATTCCTGCCCAAACATTCAGTTTTTGAGGTCGTTGGGTATGAACTTGACGGTATAAATGAGGATTCGTATCACTCAAATATCGACAATTTTGTCGATTCACCTCTCCATTCAAACTAAACGTACATTCATCCGAAAAACAAATTTTATACAAAAAATTCTGATGCAAGTTGATCCGTTCAGTAAGACTTTCACAAAACTCGATACATCTATCGAAATCATCTTCGTTCAATTCATGAACCATTCTAATCTTATATTGATGAAATTTGTACTTATGAAGGATCCTGAAAACATTTGAATGACTGATTCCTGATTCTCGAGACGAATTTGTAAGAGATTGCGAATTTTCCATTTTCTAAAACTGCAGTACAAATAGCTTCATCGTTGACAACTCCTGAACGGTTATGCTTTTCATTATCAACAGATCCAGTTTCCATAGATCTGTTCAATAATTCCCACGTATTTGTGTCGTACATTTCTTCCTGGATGATTATCTTTGAACATACGGGCAGCAGCTCTAGCACTATTTCCATTCTGATAGTACAAACTCACTATTTCAATCCGTGCCCGAAGCATATAAACAATTACTTATCAAGAAATCACAAAAACCGAAACACCAATTGTAACTTCGCCTGGTAGGTAATTGTTATTGTAGAATGAGACAAATACAAAATGAAGAGAATATCGAATTCANACGGGTTGCAGATCAATGCTAATGACGCCCATCTCACCAAATTACACAAGTCATGGTATGCCTCTTGTGCCTGTTGCTCACATTACGTGATGGACCCTCTTGCTCTGGGAACTTAGAGGATGGTAGATAATAATATATTTTTAAAATGCAAATAAATATGGGTTCTTACAACCTACTACACTATTTATTGTCTTTTTTTTTAGAGTCGGGAAGTAGGTATTTAAAGGTAAAAGCTTGATTACATTTTTTTTCTAGAAATATATTTTTTATTGAAGCCAACCCTGGATGTGGCATCTATTTCATGGTGGGCCTACCAACTATCATAAACGAATGCGTATAAAAAAATGTGTGTCCCTGCCATTTACCGCTGAGGAGATCTCTCGTACGGAGCCGATCCTGGCAGCAGCATCAGGTCACGTTTATGATTAACATGCATTGTCATCGGTTCTGGGTAATGAGCTGAAAAGAGGCAAGACATTGAAATTTGGAGAGAAAAAAACACCATCAATGTATAGAGTACAAAATCCTCTATCGATCAGTATACACCCCAGTTGAATAAATATTTATTGAGATGTGGAATTACAAAGACAGATGACATTAAAAGGAACAAATTTTTTGAAACAATTTAATATTATTATGTTCTCACCATTGGGCAATCTTGTACTTTTGGCTATCATCTGAGTGAGTACTTTTTTATTTTTTAAAGGTCCGCTTAAGGATTAATTTTCCGAGAAATATTTGCAAAGGATGCATCGACAAACTGCAAGAAATATCCGTATTCATTGAAATCTTGAAAAATAATATCACCAATCTGGATGGAAAACCGGCAGTAGATGTAAGACTTGAATGCCCAGAATCAATTGAAAGTGGAAATTTTTACCAAGAAAATGAGATGACCACCGAAAGAGATTCATCTCCAGAGAAACCTGGGGTTTGCCGAATTTGCTCTTCTCCACTTAGTCTAACATTGCATGAGAAATGTACACATCTGATTCAACTGTTCCAAGATCTTACCAATCAGGAAGTAGTGTTCTGCAGATTGTTTAGTGCGTTTCCAATATTCATGTCCTTTTTTTTTTCAGGCAAAACTGGGAAGCAATATGTGCAACTCGTGTATGGAAAATCTAGAAATGATATCATCCTTCATCGTTTCGTCAAAAAGTACTGACGAAAAATTTGAGTACATTGTGAAAAATGAGACGGTTGCAACTGAAAGTTATTCTGATTTAAATGATTCATTGGAGTGTGATGATATAAAGCCCTCAACTTCTGCTGATCAAATTGACATCAAAGAAGAAATAATTGACGAGAATGCTTCTACTTTTGCAAACCATCGAAGCAAGCTGGAACTGAAAGAATTGGATTCTGAAAATCTCCAAATGAAAAACCACCAATGCAGTGTGTGCCAAAAAACATACACTAAAGAGAGTTATTTGAAAAGACATATGCTCATCCACGTGGAAAAAAAATATCAGTGTGATCGTGGCGAAAAACGTTTCGCTGAGAAGTATTCGTTGAGGAATCATTTGCCTAGTCACTGTAGAGAAATGCCTTACAAGTGTAATTTTTGTCAAAAAAGTTTCACGGTGCAGAGAAGTTTTCAGAATCATTTGAAGATGCATGCTATGCATGCCGTTGAAAAAACACACAGGTGCAGTCACTGCAGAAGAATTTTCTATCAAAAGGTTGATCTGCTCTCCCACACTTGCAAGAAGCTAACGAAATCAGCTTGTTACAGACAAAATTCTTGCTCCAAAAATGAACCATTGAAATGTAATAGCTGCGATGAAACCTTTACTAGGAACTTCGATTTCCGTCAACATCTGGTCACACACGTTTGTGAGAAACACCCTGGCCAAAAACATGTACTCAGGCACACCGATGACAAGCCTTATAAATGTAAAATTTGCCAAAAAGGTTTAGCAACAAAGTCCTCTTTGCGACAGCATTTTCTTGGCCACACTGGAGTAAAGTCGTTCAAATGTGATTATTGTAAAAGCGTTTTCGCTCGAGAAAGCACTCTGAAGCGGCATCTGCTGACGTACTCTCACAAAAAGCAACACAAACTTGAGTTTTGCGAAAAAAGTTTTGAAGAGGAAAGCACTGTACAACTGAAGGGCACCGAAAACAAACTACCCAAGTGTAACATTTGTCAACAAATATTCACTCTAAGCTCCTCGCTGCAGAGCCATTTGCGTGTCCACACTGGAGAGAAACCTTTCAAGTGTGATTGTTGTCAAAAAAGTTTCACCCAAAAGTCCAGTCTGCATCAGCATTTTCTCACTCATTTCACCGAGAAGCCTTACAAATGTGATATTTGCAAAAAAGGTTTCACCTCGAATCCCATTTTGCGGAGGCATTCGTTCCTACATACCGATGAAAAGCCATTCAGATGTTATTGTTGCGGGGAAAAGTTTATTGAGAACTATCTTTTGCAGCGGCATTTGTTGAGTCATTCTTTGGAAGAACAATGCGAAAAGGATTCAGAAAAGAGCTCTATTTGAAGAAGCATTTTTCCACACGTGGCACTTTCAAACTTTCATTTGTTATCGATTATGTTATTATTAGTTACTGAATTATTAGCATTTGATTGAATACATCCTGCAATATTCTATGTAGATCTAACTTTGACTTTCAAGTATACAGTGCATTTCTTTAATGTCCCCCACTTTTATTTTTTGAACGGGTCAACTCAAAAAATTGAAATTTGGGATAAAGAAATTAATGTATGAATACTTTATTTTGAATATTACTGGAGTTTTTTCCCAACACCAAATGAGAGTGTAGAAATAAGTAAACATAATAATATTATGAATAACGATAACGGACCAATACCAAATAGCATACTATATAGCTTGTTGAAATAATATTGTTGGGTTTACTGATTACTACAAAAAGACACATTGTAAATATATTTAGATAGGCAATATTGTGAAACTAATTTTATATAGCTGAAAATTGTTCTATATATAGCTGTAACATTTAAACATACATAAGGACATATTGTAAATAATAGAAAGGCCAATTGTAAAATTAATTTAGGGTGGTACACTTGTATGGGTGGTATTACTGATTACCTACCTGTATGATGTACCTGATTAGTATAAGTAGCTTTAGTTTTGAGTAGTTATTAGTTTTATCTTCCTCTTGAAGATGATCACTTGGTGATCGAAACACGTGTCGAGGTGTAAAAATAACGATTTGGTGTTGGGAAAAAACTCCAGTAATATTCATTACTACACCAAAGGTTCCAAACAGTACATTACAAGTACTTTATTTTGAAGTGAAATTGACAGATGAAACTTTTAAGATGACGACTGAGCCCCATCTGGGGAAAAAAATTAAATGGATATCTTCATGAATATCTTCAACTACTACAAAATGGCGGAACTTTTAATAATTGCCTAAATATATTGACATTTAACTACATAATATGAGACAATAAGCTTGAGGGTAGTTCAGAAAATGCTTGAAATGGTTGCCTTGAACTTCTTGACATATGAACAGCCTATCCGATATTTCATGCCGAACATTTTTGAACACACGTCAATATCTCTACAAATATTTATTATTATCTGCCGCATATCCAATAGTGAAGCAGGGTCAGTTTTGTACACCTTGTGCTTCAAATAGTAATGTAATGGTGCTCTATCTTGTTGGAATACAATATCCATATCGAATTCATTAGGATTCGCTTCGACGATTTCAGTGATGAGAGGGTCAACAGTAGTTTCCAGCATATTCGAATACAGTTTCCCTGTTAAATTTGGATCAATAAATAGAGGCCCTACAATACGGTTTCCCAATATTCCTGCCAAAACGTTAATTTTTCTGGATATTGGTTATGTGTTTCTCGGAAAACGTGAGGTTTGGTGTCATTTTAATAACGGCAATTTTATCTGTGATCATTGCCGTTTAAAAAAATGCAGATTCATCACTAAAACAAATATTGTAGAGATAGGTAGGATGCCTTGCATTGGTTTCCGTCATGATTTCGCAGAATTCTGCCCTTTGATCAGCGTCATCTTTAGTTAATTAGTGTGCCATTCAAAAGTCTCCACAGAGTAGTAGCAGACACCTCACGAACATTCGCGACGGAATAAGTGGACTGTTCAGGATTTACTACCATCTCACCAATTATTTGCACTTGCTGTTCTTCCGGAATGGACGGATGACCTGGGGACTTTTAGAAATTGTTGACGTGGTACCTTTCTATTAGTAAAACCGAAAACTAAATGAGAATATTCTAACTAAACAATGATGTTCATTGTCGTACTGACATTTTTTGTCGTTTTTATGAAGGAAAAATAACTCAACAAACTCTATTGGGTTGTTGGAACTGCCTTATGGCAGATAAAAAGGAATATTTTTAGAAATGTCGATATTAATGTGTTTGTCTTCAGGAAATTATTAAATGTTCCACCATTTTGTAGTAGGTGAAGAATTGACTTCATATTATAGGGTTGTGAAATATTCGTTGGGAGCTTCAAAATGGTGTGTCACAAGACCCCCTTTCCATTAAATTTTTTTTTCCAGATGGCGCCCAGTCGCCATCTTGAAAGTTTCATCTGTCAATTTCACTTCAAAATAAAGTATTCATGCATTGATTTCATTACCCCAAATTTAAATTTTTTGAGTTGACTCGTTCAAAAAATAAAAGTGGGGGGGATATTATAGAAAAGCACTGTATAAACAAAGGCGCCCATCTATGGGATCGACACAGTATTCGGCGTGTTCGCTGAGCACGCAAAACCCTTTTACGCCTCCCGCCAATAAAATAAACATACTAAACTGTAAGCATATGTTCGAGACGGGTGTACCAACATGAGAAATAAAAAAGGTCATTCGAACGTCATAGCCAGCGAAATTTGAACATCACCTCATTTATCGAACTGACCTCTTATATGCAGAGGCCCTTGACAATCGATTTTCTTCTTAAACGACCGTGAAATGATGGATTATAATTTTTCAAAAAGTTCAAGCGATATGATCCGATCTAAATAACTTCCCCCTAGGGGAATGAGATTGCTGCTTTTAAGTAGAGTTTATCGTCTGGAATCTTACGGAATTTTTCTTGTGGGTTTTTGTTGAATTTGAGTCATACGGCATGTCCTGTCAGTCACCTGTGATTTATTTTCATACATTCAGGTTGTGTTGGAGAGAAAAATTGGTTGTATTGCTATTCTAGCTTAGTTTTCTAATATTTTAATGTCAAGAAACACTAAGCGTCATCAACAGCAATGACGGACAACGGTTTTGTGAAAGCACAGTCAGATAATCTTCCAAAAATAGATGCATTCATGATGACCACATATTTTGCGTCAAACCCGGATTTTATATCTGCTGAGGTTAAGGGAGTAAAAGCTGCAGGGTAATTATTGTAAAACATGGTAGTTTTAATCTAGTAAATCTGTTTTTGTGCATACATGCACTTATAAAATTATTTCCCTCAATATAACCTCAAATGTTGTTTACATTCATTGTATGACATACGTAAATAAGGTTATGAAACTTTATCTGGTGTACTTTTCATAGTGTTCGGACACATTGGTACCATGCAATATCTATGAAATGGCTTTTTTCTTCCATGATTATTACGCAATATTTAAACTAAAACACCTTGTTAACTATCAAACTTACTCTCAATTCGAACAATAAGCTGACTGGACGTGCCCTATGACGTCACGCCTCAAGGGCGCGAGAAATAGGAGCGTTTGAACTTGTCAAATTAAACCAATATTTTTAAGATTTTATGAAAAAATAATTACTACTCTTACAGCTATTTTTTTTCCTATATCAAAATGAAGTGAATGTTGATTAAAAAAAAATAAAAAATTGTCTTCATATTCGCTATTGTCCGATACATAATGAAAATTCGTGATAAACGTAGTTAATAACACGATTGCCAGATTTTCTCTTACAAAACCTTAACACCTGTAATAGCACCTTCAGGAAGTCTGGCATTTACACTTCTCTTTTTGGTTCCAATGTAGACCACTCTACACAAAGGATCCGTTTAAGTTCAGTTGTTGCTACGGACCCCACAGACCCCGCAGTCGTTGGCGAAACACCAGATACAAAAACTTGCAGACCACGGCCAATAATCCAGGAAAAAGTCACAGAACAAAGTAAATGAAAGAGTATTGAAATAAAATTACATGCCACAATTTTTTCTATTCTAAAAAATCCAATCTCTCCGCACACAATTCAATAGCGTGAATGTCCGCTTGAAATACAGTCGCATAAGTTCTTAGGCAGGTAGATAACTCTGTCCTGGGTCTGCGACTAAAAACACTTGCACCAGAACCGGAAGGTGTTTTTGATCCTTCTGTGAACCAACAACTATCTGCTCTCAATATTTCCTTCTCCCCGAGGATCCAGTTCTCTCTACTCGGAAATAGTACTTTATAAGGCAGTTCGTAGCTGACAGTTGGAGGCATAAAGTCAGTGGTCATTTCCAAAATACTGTGACTTCCAATGTCAACCAACAGATTGTTGCACTCTGCATTGAATTGATTTGTGCAATTGGCAATGTGCATGCAGTTCATCTAGCCTCTCTCTCAAGAAAAATGTGGAGAGGAGGTAGATCTAGAAGGATCTCCATGGCCGCTGACGGTGTGGTATTGATGGCACCACTGATAGCCAGACAAGCCTGTCTCTGTAAGCCAGAGAGCTTCGCTTGGGCCGTTTTCTGTAAAGCCTTCAGCCACCAAGCAATTGCACCATAAGTGATCATTGGTCTGACAATCATCACATAAATCCAATGGATTTGTTTGGGACCTAAACCCCAAGTTTTACCACAAATCCTTCGACATGTCCATAGAAAGTCTGGTTTTGTGTAAAAGGTTTTCCAAGTGAGCGTTCCAGGTGAGTCTTTTATCAAGGACAATTCCAAGATATTTCACCTCCGTTCCAAATGGAATGACCACATCATTGAGGGAAAGTGACGTTAGATTGTCCAATTTTCTCCTCTTGATGAAGGGGATTAATACAGTTTTGATGGGGTTGACAGACATCTGCTCCCTCAGGCACCAACTGTGAACAACGTCCAACACGCTTTGGAGGATATTACAAGCTACCCTTCCCGACGTGGACCTTGCCAGGATGACAAGGTCATCGGCATAAGCTTGCAGATCGACTTTTCTTCTGTCGAGGGCATCAAGCAGACTATCCACCAGGAGGGCAGTCCCTGGTGACCCTAAATCTGATAGCCTCGCCTTGAAGAGTCGTAGTTGCAGTTATGTTTACTAGCGTGGCATAGATCCAACCAGTTGTGGTTGGTAGGTAGGTTCTATGCATAGCGTAAATGAGCATCAAGAAAAGGAATCGGGACATTAAATAAATGCACCGTATGGAGGTAAGTATCCGTGTTTAGCACACTCGTAAGCTTTTTTGTTGTCCATGATACCTGAGTGATCTGGCACCCAATATATAGTCAATCTATTTCTATTCGCTAATTTCCTCAGTTTCTGACAGCATTTCCGAATCAGTCACTTTGGGGTCGTCAGTGTCCCCGAGTGCAGACTGGCTGTATGAAAATTGATTTTGTTGAGGCTTCGAATCAGTGTCTCTTGCCCATTACAGAATTGTATACGTATTTGCCAGTAAGACTGAAATGTACTGGCCGAACGGGTAAATGAAATGAAGATTTCTCACCGCACAGTATATTCCAGCTCCCGACTCACGTTCGGTTTTCGAGCCATCTCCGTACCAGGTGTTTCTACCGAGGATGTTCTCGGAATGACTCAGTGCTTCGCGTTTTAAGATTTTGATGACATGTGGTCCAAGAATAGGTTCGCTCCTCCACAAATTCCGAAATTTGTTTATTTTTCCGATACCATGTAGGTCGGTAAGTTCTCGAGTCTGAATTGGCCCACTCTTGCTTCCACAATTATTACAAGATATGAAAAGGAGGATTCAAGAGTTTACCCAATGCAGTTGTTACGGTAGTTTTCATTGCTAGTGATTCCCCAACATACTAGTCTTTGCACTCTGCTTAGTTTGTTAATAGAGTTAGTTTCTTCTTTGGCCACCAGACCATAGATGCATATGCATTTCATTGGTTCAACCAGTACGGTACCAGCCCTCATGTCTGGCCAGTATCAGTGCTACCTCAGCCTTTCGTTTCACTCTTTCTAGATGTTGATTTCGATCAGCCAGGGATCTAGTATAACACCCAGGTATTTGACCTCCCTCAGCTGTATCTCTTCGCTTCAAAGTTTCAGAAGTCTTTGGCTCTATGCCATAGTCCCCTTAGTGAATGCTACTGTGGCAGTTTGAGATGACTCTAATCAAATTCGTTGAAAATGGTGCAAATTGACACTCCTATATACCAGGTGCTTGAAATCGGAGGTCAGCCTTTAATGTTTGAAGTTTTCAGGGATGCAAATTCAGATACATTTTTTTGAAACCGAAGTCAGTCTTTTTCAGAGTATCTTCAAAAGTTGCCCACTTTGAGTAATGATTAAAATGTTTTCAAATTTCCTGTCCAATGGATGTAAGTAATTGAGTCAATCAAATAATGAAATATATCTTCCTCTAAATCAAAATTCAGCGTTTTGACGAAAACTGAATAATAAATAATCAAAATGTCTTTTCCTCTCTCTGAAAAACCAATATTCAATAGTTGAACTAAGTGGGTGTTTTCTTGAAGGTTCATGAAATGATCAATTTTCCGAGGAATATATGCACAGGATGCGTGAATGAGCTAGAAGAAATATTGATGTTTATGGAAAACACAAAGAGTAATGATGCTGAATTGGAAATTGAATCGATTCTGAAGAAAGAAGCAACAGACGAAAACAATAAAGAGGATATAACTCGATATGGACCTCAACTTTGTCGAATTTGTTCATCTCCAAGTAATGTAACAGCAATCAAAGAAAGAACACATCTGATTCAGCTTGTTAAGAATGTTACCAACATTGATGTAAGGATCTTGCTGATCATTTGTGTCTTTGCTAATGTTCTTTTTTATTTTAGATTAAAGACGAAATCTTCTCGTGTGACTCCTGTATAGGCAAATTAGAAAGCATATATTTATTTGTCGCTTCATCCCTATGTAATGAGGACAAACTTAGAAATGCACTTACAAATACTGGAGCTGTGGAAACTGAAAGTTTTTCGAATCCCATTTCAGTTGAATCGTCAGTGAGTGACGATTTGAAAGTGACTGTTAATGATGCGACAAAAGAAGAAAATATCGAACACGAATTTGAGGATGAACATAAGGAAATTGTTGACATTAAGAAAGAAAATATCGTCACTGAGGAAGAAGGCAGTATTGATGTCGAAGAAGAAATGAACAAAATGGAACTATCAGTTTCTAATATCGTCATCAACTATCAAATTGGATTAAAGCTCCCTTTAAAACCCACAGCGGCAAGACCATTCCAATGCGATTTCTGTAAACAATGTTTCGTTACCAAAAATTCTATGAAACAGCATATAATCGCTGGGAAAAAAAATCCGCCACAGTGTCATTTGTGCGATAAAAAAATTGTTCAAAATTGTGAACTGAAAGATCATTTACTCACTCACACTAAAGAAAAACCATTCGAGTGTATTTTCTGTAGAAATCGTTACCCTGAAAAGGCAATGTTGCAAGAACATTTACTCACTCACACTAAAACGGAATGTTACCAATGTCAGTTTTGCAAAGAAAACTACAATCAGATGAATGAATTGAAAGATCATTTACAAACTCACACCAAGGAATTGCCATTCCAATGCCATAACTGTCAAATGCGTTTCTCTAGAAAAGATATTTTGAAACGGCATTTGCTCACTCATTCTGAAGAAAAATCGTACGAATGTGAATACTGCAAAAAATGTTTCGTTAATGAAAGTCGTTTGCAGAAGCATCTGATAACTCACAATGAAGTGAAGCCATACAAATGTAATTACTGCGACAAAGGTTTTTTTCGGAAGGGTCATTTAGATGTTCATTTGCGCAATCACACTGATAAAAAGGGACTCGAATGCCCTTTCTGCAAAAAATCTTACGATTTACTCAGAAATTTCAAAGACCATGTGCGCAGTCACACCGGAGAAAGGCCATATAAGTGTGACCTCTGCGAAAAGGCTTTTTATCGGAAGTGCAATTTGAAACAGCATTTGCAAACCCATTCCGACAAAAAGTCGTCCGAATGTGACTATTGCAAAAAACAATTCTCTTCCGCAGGCAATTTGAAAAAACATTTACTCATTCACTTGGGAGAAAAGAAACACGAATGCAGTGTTTGCAAAAAGCTGTTCGTCTCTGAAAGCCTCATGAAAGATCACATACGTTCCCATGTTGAGAAACACATGTGCAAGTTATGCAAGAAGTGTTTCACTACGAAACAAAGTTTGGAGCGACATTTTCTCATCCACACTGGAGAGAAACCCTTCGAATGTCATCATTGTCAAAAAAGATTCAATCAAAAGGGTAGTTTGAAGGAACATTTACGCATTCACGTGGACAAAAATCAAGTTTAAGCCTAATTCTGATAGTCCGGTCAATTTAGACATTCGAAGCTACCTAAATTCCCACCAAGCTGAAAATCAGTAAGATTGTTTAAAATATGATTAAAAATAAAATTTGAAAGTTCCCCATTTTTCCCCTGTATGGAAAAAAATTTATTCGAAGTCAAAGGTCAAAAAATTAGTTTTTCGTGATTTTCAGCAAAACTATCATGAAAATACTTGAGACAAAAATTGTAGATCATAAAATTGTCTACAAAAATGTATCAATACTATTTTCCTACGAGCCACTGTTTTTGAGATGTAACGATTCAAAAAGTTGTAATCGTCATAATATACACACGTTTCCACGGCACCTATGAGTTAGTGTACTTAGCGCGTTTTTTTTAACGTGGTTTTCCCAGTAGGCCTATCCCACGGGTCAGTTGTGATCCTGTTTAATTTGAAACAGGATCTTTGTAAAATAATGGATATTAGCAGAAATTGAAAAGATAAAAGCAATTTAAGTTAAAAAAAAAAATAGTGAAATTTAATCGTCCGAGTCGTAACTTTCAAATTCTTCTTTTTGTTCTTCTACTTGATCTTCTTGTTCGTCTTGTTCTTCTTCTTGTTCTTCTTCTTGTTCTTGTTCTTCTTCATCTTTATCCTGAGTACATGTAAACTACGTTAATAGCGATGTATCGCATGTCGCCTCGTTGGAATCAAACGGTTCCTCCACTGTTGGTGATTCAATATGTGAGCACGACCAGCCTTGACAATGTGCACATGCCAGAGAACAAAACAGTCCGACTTTTTTGCAACCACATTTAGCACTGTAACCCTTTTTGCAGTTGCAAAAATTGTGTTCAACAGTTTTTCCGGCGCAGGTGGAAGTAAAGTTTGGACTGACTCGTTGACCAACTTCCAACCCCAGTCTGTAGGGTCTAGCTGATAACCAAGCCACATTTGAACTTGGTAATGTACCCGAAAAAGATGATGAGTAGCAACTGAGGTTGGAGGAAGACAAGGTAATTGTACTTGTTTTTTACTTTTGGTATTTTTAGCGAAACATGCATATCTATACTTATCTAAGCAGGTAGTTTTTTAAGAGCTCCGTACATAGAGAGAAGAAAGCGACTGCCCTTAGTGATAATTTCTTGTCAATTTGAGTTACTACTTTTTATCTTTATTCAAAAACTGATCAAACTTCGGTGTTTGTTTCTTTCTACATCGAGTTTATTGTCAATATTTCTATAGATGACGTCATATTGAGTTTAAAGAAACTGATACCTAAGCCGCCATTTTGAATAAGAATTGCCTTATGTGCTATATCGTTGAAAAGATAATTTTATGTCCGATCAAATGGTCGGAAAAATATACAGGTTGGTATTTAAAGTTCTTCACTTGGATTCATTTCCGGTCAATCCTGCATAAATTTTCAGGTGTTTTTTTATTAAAAATGTCGGTTTCAATGATCTATATCTATAGGTTCATTTCGAATTTCCCACCTCATTAACTATTGAATGGCGCCGTGTACAATGATTTCGTTGTCACCCGGTATATCATTGACAACAAAGTCAACCCAGAATTCGAAACTGCGCTTTTTTGCCGAAGTTTGCATCATATTTTCTAGTGGATCGTTCTGGCTAACAACTATTCCTTTGAAGTATCCACGTTCAGTCACTAAAATGCCAACATTCAATATTCATTCTAAGTGAATGTTTTCTTGAAGGTTCATCTAATGATCAATTTTCCAAGGAATATATGCACAGGATGTGCTGATACGTTAGAAGAAATATTGATGTTTATTGAAAATACTAAGAATAATGATGCCCGTGTGGAAATACAAACGATAGTGAAGATAGAAAGAGGATTAACAAATGATGGAGCAACTGTTGAAGGCAATAACGAGGATATAAACCTACATGAATATCACATTTGTCGAATTTGTTCATCTCCAAGTAATGTAACACGGAGGAAAGAGGAAACACATCTGAATCAGCTCATTCAGAGTGTTACAAACATTGAGGTAAGTTTCATGATGAGTGTTTGTTTGTCTCTTAATGTTTTTTTTTCAGGTTAAAGCAGAAATCTTCCTTTGTGACTCATGTGTAGACAAACTAGAAAACATATCCTCATTTATCACTTCATCTCTGTATAATGAGGAAAAACTTAGGAGTGCTCTTACAAGAACTGGGTTTGAAGAAACCGAAAATTATTTAAATTCCATTGTAATTGAGCCCTCAGAGAGTAGAGACTTACAAGTTGAAAGAACTATTGATCGAAATGAATTTGCAGGTGAAATGAACTTCAAAAGAGAAATTGCTGATACGAAGGAAGAATATAGCATTGATGTCAAAGAAGAAATGAAAGAAATCGAGCTACCAGTTTCCAGTAATCCTAACTTTCCGGGAAAATCCAAACTTCCTTTAGAACCAACCACAGAAAGGCCATTCCAATGTGACTTTTGTAAACGATGTTTTACTCATAAGAATACTTTAAAAAACCACATAATCACTGGAAGCAGAAGTCCATCCCAGTGCCATTTGTGTCAAAAAACATTTCCGCAGAAGTGCCAAATGGAAGATCATTTACTCTTTCATGCTAAAGAATCACCATTCGAGTGCATTTTCTGCAAAAATCGATTCGCTGAAAGGACAACTTTGAAAGAGCATCTACTCACCCACACTATAAGTAAATCTCATCAGTGCCTTACCTGCAAAAAGCAATTTGCGTCGAAAAACGTTTTGAAAAAACATTTACTTATTCATTTTGGGGAAAAAAAACACGAATGCAATATCTGCGGTAAAAAATTTGTTTCCAAAAGTCTTTTACAAACACACTTACGTTCTCATAATGAAAAACATATATGCGAGGTGTGCAAAAAATGTTTCACTGTAAGAGGAACTTTGGAACGGCATTTACTCACTCACACTGGAGAAAGACCGTTTGAATGTGACCGTTGCCAAAAAAGGTTCAGTCAGAAGGAAACTTTGAAGAGACATATGCGCACTCACGTCGAAAAAAATTAATAATCGTTTGTGAATTTTCTACGAAAATGTTTATCCTTTTTGACTGTTTTTCCCCATACTACATTGTTGATACAATAACTAATCTTAGGAATTAGTTCAATAACCATTGATATGTAAGGTGATGGTTTGTCCATCTTACAAAATTAAATAATTTATAACACTGTGTATATTAACACACATGGTGATGAAATAGAAACAACTTTCTAAACTTGGGAGAAAAAACCAAAAACAAGCTGCTTGTCATCTGTCAGACTTCATATATCCCACACTGACAGCTGACGCAAACCTCAGGTATACTGTACAAAAAGGAATGCTAACTATAGGCAGGTTTGCATAGAGCTAACATAGAGGGGCCCATTAATGTGAGGATCAGTATCTTCCCTATAATGAGAGTATGATAATATGTTTCAGATAAAAGTTATGGTTTACTTTGTTGCTTATTTTAAAAATATTTTGAATTATACAGAATGTTCCTTTGAAGCGGGACAATAAAAATTATCTTTTTTTTAAATGGACTTCCCTGTAAATTTTTTCACTGTTGAACTGAGGGAAATGTTTTACATAAGGAAGTATTTCTTTATTTCGAAAGTTTTGCGGCTGAAAGAAAGAAAACCTTCGGTAAGAAGACCACCGTAAATGTATCACATGAAATATCAAGAGTGAGATGAAATTTTGGCATTGACTGAAAGTTACATTTCTCAAACAGGAGATTTTATACACAGCCATTAACTTGACAAACTTTATTTTTTCAAATGAAACATCCACTATGTCATATCGCAATTTCTTAGAACTATTTCATCCACACAAATTTGAATAATGAGATAAAATAGTCTCCAAAACTGACATTTTTTGAGAAATTCACAATTCAATTTGTAATATGTCGAAGAAATCAATATTTTTTAATAGTTCATCACTTGAAACCCAAATGAGAGTAGTTTGAAACTCAAATAGTTTTATGTTACACTAATTTGTACATACAATTGTGGCGTATTTGGTAGAATATGAGACTTCCTTCATGGGTTCGAATCCTAATGCTTATAAACACCGCATTTTCGCATTCAAAATTGAATAAAATAACATAAATGCGCAATATTTTGGAATTAATTTTCGGGATATCCCTTACAAATGAATCTTATTTTGAGATATTCTGATGTCATAGAAAAAGTATAGTATTCAACTCGCGAGAAATCGTCATTACTCGCTGGAATGATTCTCAACAAACTTCATTATCACGATGAATGCTAATCTTTTTTGCCTCGTCATACTGTACCTACATGAGAGTCCGATATTATTTATTTCTTACTTGAATCAAGTTTGGAAGTAATACATTTCTTTGGAAATATGCCGTTCCAACAAAAACGGAATTCGTTATATTGAATTAAATAGCGTACCTCCCCCTTGAAAACAAAATCACTGTTTTTTTAAAAGTCATGCTTCTGAGGTGGGTAATTTTCGGTGAACCACTCTGTGATCGTATGTTTTGTTCGTTTTTATGAGTCTAGGTTAGGTTAGGTCTAAGGTGAGTGGGTCTATTTAAGCCTCCACCGCAACCCGCAAGGGTTTATTGTGGCTCACACCTATTCACACTCGGCCAAATGAACCCAGCTTCTTATCGAAGCCGATTAGTTTGTATAGTGAGTGGTCTTTCAGGTCAGATGGTAAGAGTACGGCTCTGCCGAACTCTAAAGACCTGATTCGGTCCCCAGCGGGGCAGGCACAAAGTATATGCTCTGCTGTTTCATCATTTTCCAAACAGAGGCGACACACACTGTCTTCAGACAGTCCAAGTCTCTGCAGATGATGACTCAAGTGACAGTGACCTGTAAGAAGGCCTGTTAGACATCTTAGTTCATCCCTACTGTAGTCCAACAACTGTTTGGTATCAAGCTTCGAAGGGTGAATAAACGCCTTTGAGTGAGCCAATCCTGGAAGATTCTGCCAGAAGTCCATAAATCGTCTTGCCATCCAGGTTCAGTGTTTGTTTGGCAAAGCCCAAAGCGATGCCAATGACAGGTTCTGGTCCGATGAAGCCACTTGCAGCACCCTCCTTTGCAAGAGAGTCAGCAGCTTCATTGCCTTCCAGGCCAGTTTGGCCAGGAATCCAGACCAGAAACAATCTATTAAGTCTTCCTATTGAGGAGAGCCGTTTTTGGCAGTTGCTACCAATTTAGAAGTTGCTCGGTTGGAGCCAAGAGCTTCCAACGCCGCTTGACTGTCCGAGAATACTTTTATTGACTTGTCGAGTGAGGTTGGATTTATCCAATCTCTCCGCACACAATTCAATAGCGTACATTTCCGCTTGAAATACAGTCGCATAGGTTTCTAGGCAGGTTGAAATATCAGGTAGATAACTCTGTCCTGGGTCTTCGACTAATAACACCTGCACCAGAGCCGGAAGGTGTTTTTGATCCTTCTGTGAACCGACAACTATCTGCTCTTAATATTTCCTTCTCCCGGAGGATCCAGTCCTCTCTACTCGGGAATAGTACTTTATAAGGCAGTTCGTAGTTGACAGTTGGAGGCATAAAGTCAGAGGTCATTTCCAGAATGCTGTGACTTCCAGTGTCAACCAACAGTCTGTTGCACTCTGCATTAAATTGATTTGATTTGATTTGATTTGTGAGCCTACTTTGAACTGTAATTTATCAGTGAATACTCATTCAAAGTATTCGAGATAAGCGCTATTTCAATCAGTGCATTTTTGCCAATGTGACGCAAGTCGACTAATTCCGTCAGCATAAAAATTGTGTGCTCGGGATTCGATGAAGTCGACGAAGGCCGTTTTAGCCTGGTCCTGATTAGCGAAGATTCTACTGGTGAGTAAGTTATCGAAATGCTCGAAAAGGTGGTAGTCTGTTGGCGAGAGGTCTAGGAAGCATGGTGAGTGAGGCAGTACTCAGATCCTCGATTCGCTTCATTTGTGGAACGTGCAGACGGGCGTTGTCGCGGAGCAATATCGGACCTCTTCTGCTGACCAGTGTCGGCTGCTACTGACACAAATTTTGGTACATTTCGTCAATTTCCACACAATAGGACTCTGCCATGATTGTTTGGCCTGGTTGAAAAAAGTTATAACTGCTGACTACTATACAGTTACCACGGTCTTTTTTTGGTGGGTTTTCGTCTTTGTGAGGTGCCTGGATGGCTCATCCACTGTCCTGAATGTTTCCTATTGTCGTAGAGTACCCACTTTCCATCATACGTGACGATCCGACCCAAAAAAGGATTGTTTTGGTTGCGCAAAATCAAAAAACAGACTTTGAAACGTGACGATTTCTGTGGATCGTTATAATCGTTAGGCACCCACTTTTTGAGCTTCTTGACCTCTCCAATAAGTTTTAAACAATCAAGAATCACACGGGAGGTGACGCCCAGTTCTTCCGCCATCCCACGCACCGTTTGTGATGGATCAGTCTCCACCAGGCTCCTCAAATCCTCGTCCTGGATTACTGTAGGTCGACTACTTCGGGACTCAACTTCGAGGCTAAAATCTCCGGAAGCTTTGGTTCAATCTGAATTCGCAGAGAAAAATTTACCGAAAATCGCTCCACGAAATTATACAGGGCGTTCCAACGAAAACTTGACCCCCTGTAAGTCAGAAACGGACGTGTAATTGAAAATTTCAAAGATCGCATCAAATTTTATTTATAGGGGGCTAATTCTGATGTGAAAATTATACCCGAAACTTCATCCCCATGCGATCAGCAACTACCCACCCTATTTTTTTTTCAAAGGCGTGGGGGTCGAATGATACGTCATTTGAAAGTAAAGTAAATGTTGAACGTTTTATCAAAAAAAAAAAAACTTAAAATTCGCTGTCGTTCATTTTAATGAGAAAATCAACAACAAATAATATCAGTGGAAACACAATCAACGGATGAATTGTTCAAAATGACATCCACCTAGTCCCATACAATAATACTGTCTACTCTCGAAAGCGTTCTGTACATTATTCAAGATGTCCGGAATCAGCAATCGGCATTCCGAACAATTATTCAGGTGTCCCCACAGAAAGAAGTCCACAGCTGTGAGATCAGGTGATCTAGCTGGCCACTCCACTGGACCCCTTCTGCCGATCCAACGCATAGGAAAACGTTCGTCCAAAAACTATCTCACCCGAACTTCAAAATGTGGGGATGCAGTATCCTGCTGAAATGTTATGTCATTTTCTACTAAACGTTCATGATTTTCTAAAATTTGTGTATTCATAGGATCTACACAGTTTTGTAATAGATTTAAGTATGTGTCTCTATTGAGATTACCTTCAATGAAGAATGGTCCAACAATATGATTATCAAGAATGCCGGCCCAGACATTCAATTTTTGTGGAGTTTGTGAATGTGTTTCCATCACCAATTGAGGATTCACATCACTCCAGAAACGACAATTATGTCTATTCACCTCACCATTCAACATGAAAGAACTTTCGTCTGAAAACATGTATAATAGGTACTTATGATGCACTGTTTGGAACCTTTGGTGTAGTAATGAATATTACTGGAGTTTTTTCCCAACACCAAATCGTCATTTTTAACACTTCGACACGTGTTTCGATCACCAAGTGATCATCTTCAAAGAGGAAGATTAAAACTAAGGACTAGTGCGAGCTAATCCTATTTATGCTATAAAGGTAACTCACACAGGTAAACCATCCAGGCATACCAACCTAAATTGATTTCACAATTTTGCCTTATCTATTATTTTACAATATATGTTTATTTAAAACAATTTTCAGCTATATAAAAATCAATTTCACAATATTGCCTATCCAAATTTATTTTGGCATTGTGTCCTTATGTAGTAATCAGTAAACCCAACATTATTTTATTTTAACAAGCTATATAGTATGCTCTTTGGTATAGGTCCATCATCGTTATTCATAATATTATTGTGTTTACTTATTTCTACACTCTCATAGGCATCTAGTTGCCTGATGTCGAGGTGTTAAAAATAACGATTTGGTGTTGGGAAAAAACTCCAGTAATATTTATGCATAATAGGTTTGGGTAATTGGTCAATTTCTTGCTGAACACCTCACACAACTGAAGTCGACGATGTTAGAAATGGTTGATTTTTAGTCAGCTTTGTATTGAACTGTTTCATTCAATTTTGAAGTTTCAAACAAAATTTTGGTACCAAAGACTTGGGGGACGTGAAAAATATTTCATCAATCAGAGTTACGAGAGATCGGGATAAAATAAGATTAGACCTGTCATTATATGCCATCGAACTTTTGAGAGAAATTAACATGTTAGAAGCAAAGAAGGTATCTACTCCTCTACCCGTAGGAGAAAAATTCAAAATTGATGACGATAAACCCTTAAATGAGGAAAATACAAAATTATATCAGAGAGTTATTGGAAATCTTTTATATTTGGCAGTTTCGACAAGAGTGGATTTAGCATTTCCCGTTACATTTATGAGTTAGTTCAATCATAGGCCTTCAAAGAACCATTGGAAGGGTATAAAACATATTCTCCGATATCTAAATGGGACAAGAAACCATGGATTAGAATATTCAAAAACTGAAAAAATTATTATGGAAGCCTACAGTGACGCAGATTGCGGATCAAATGAAACAGATAGAAAGTCCTACAGTGGCTAAGTTTTCAAAATTGGAAGAGGAGCTGTGAGTTAGTCCAGCCGTAAGCAACACTGTGTTGCACTAAATAAGTAATGTAGAATTTATCGCCTTCAACTATATAAAAATAGTTGAACCATTGCAACAAAAAGTTCAACAGACGATTAGGATCACCTTCGTTTAACTGAACTGAACCTGAAGTTCGAAACTTATCCATTAAGTGTATTATAAATTATTGCAGCAGCTTTAGCACATTCATTATTTCGATAATAAGTTGCAACAATTTTTATTCTTTCTTCAGTGGAATAAACCATGTTGCAACACAGTGAACAACAATGACTGAATGATGATTTCGTGAAGAAGTGACAGTGACCAACTATGTACTTTTTGTTCTGCGACAACTAGATTCAACAAAAACTACCAGTGTCTTACATTTCTAAACGTTTACAACTAATTGAATAAATTCTACAAATCTAGAAGATCAGCGACAGAGAATTGATCGGGATTGCCGATTTCTGACTCCGGACATCTTCAATAACGTAAGGAACGCTTTCGAAAGTAGACTGTATTTCTGTTTTTTTTTTTTAATAAAACCTTCAACATTTAATTTCTCAACGAATGAACGTATTTCGAAAAAAATTACAGAAGTAATAGAGGGACCAAAGACCTTTCAAATAATGTAGTAATCGACCCCCCTTGCCGTTTAAAAAAATAGGGGTGTAGTTGCTGACCGCAGGGTGGTGAAGTTTCGGGTATGATTTCCATGTCAGAATTAGTCCCCCTAGAAATAAAAATTTACGTGTTCTTTGAAATTTTCGATTACACGTCCATGAAAAGAGGCAAGAAATCAAAATTAAAAAAAACGAACATCATCAATGTATAGAGTACAAAATTCTCTATCGATCAGTATATACCTGGAGTTACAGAAACGCATGCCTTGAAAACGATCAAAACTTTCGAAACAAACTAATACAAACGACCTTGTCTAAACATTAAAACCAAACATTCAGTATTTAATCTAAGTGGGTGTTTTCTTAAAGGTGGATTCAATGATCAATTTTCCAAGGAATATATGCACTGGATGTGCCAATCAGCTAGAAGAAATATTTGTGTTTATTGAAGACGCAAAGAGTAATGAAGCTGGATTGGAAATACAATCAATAGTGAAGAAAGAAAATGCAGTAAAGACAGATAGAGCAATCGATGAATATAGTGATGTAGATACAACTCAAAGTGAACCAATAAGTTGTCGAATTTGTTTATATCCAAGTAAAGTAAAACAAATAAAAGAGGAGACACATCTCATTCAGCTCATCCATATTGTCACCAGCATTAACGTAAGTTTCTTGCTGATTGTTTGTTTCAGTCTCAATATATTTTTTTTTTTTATTTTAGGTTGATAGCGAAATTTTCTTGTGCCTCTCATGTATAAGGAAAATAGAAAAGATATCTTCATTTGTCACTTCATCTATCTATAATGAGGAGAAACTTAAAAATGGTCTCACAAGAGCTGGGAAAGAAGAAGCTGGAAATTGTTCGAATCACATTCCAGTTGAAACAGCAGAGACTAAAGATTTGAAAGTTGAAATGATAATATGTCAAAATGATGCAGTGATAGAAAAAAATATCGAGGAGAGTGAATTCGCAAATGAAACTGTTGACATCAAAGAAGAAATTGTTGATATTGAGGAAGAAGATAGCATTAATGTCAAGGAAGAAACTAATGAAAAAGAATTATCAGTTTCTAATATCATTTACTTTCAAAATAAATCCAAACTTCCGTTACAACCCACGGCAGAAAGGCCATTCCAATGTGCTTTTTGTAAACAATGTTTTGGTACTAAGGGTAACTTGAAGAATCATATAGTCTCTGGGAAAAAAATACCATTACAGTGTCATATATGTGAAAAGAAATTCCTGCAAAAGTGTCAACTAAAAGATCATTTTCAAATCCATGTTGACGAGATGCCATTTCGCTGTCATTTTTGTAAAAATCGTTTCTCTGACAAAGCAACTCTGAAAAAACATTTGTTGAGTCACACTGAAGGGAAAACTCATCGGTGTCATATTTGCAAACAAACATTCACCGATAATTGTCAGTTGAAGAACCATTTACAAACTCACACTAAAGAAATGCCATTCCAGTGCCATAACTGCCAGATTCGTTTCTCCAGAAAGGAGTACTTGGAACGGCATTTGCTCTCCTACACTGGAAAAAAACCATATCAGTGTTACAGATGCGAAAAAGGATTCGTTACTAAGGGCAGTTTACAAAAGCATTTGTTGATCCACACTGGAGAGAGGCCATACAAGTGCGACTGCTGTGAGAAGAGTTTTACTCAGATGGGTCACTTGACAAAGCATTTGTTCACGCATACTAATAAAAAAGGATACGAATGCAATATCTGCAAAAAAAGTTACTTTTCAAATTATGATTTTAAAGAACATGTTCGAAGTCATAGTGGAGAAAAGCCGTACCAGTGCAGTTACTGCGAAAAATCTTTTTATCGAAGCCCCAATTTCGAAAGACATTTGCGCACTCATAAAAATAAATTGCCTAGAGATAATAATGACAGTAGCTCTCCAAGTGGATCAAAACTTCCTTTAGAACCAACACCAGAAAGACCATTTCAATGTGATTTTTGTAAACAATGTTTTCTCTACAAGAATAATTTGAAAAATCATATAATCACTGGTAGAAAGGGCCTATCACAGTGTCATTTATGCGAACAAAAATTCATACAAAAGTGTCAACTAAAAGATCATATGCTGGTTCATGCTGAGGAGATGCCTTTCCACTGTTATTTTTGCAAAAATCGTTTCTCCGAAAAGAAAACTTTGAAAGAGCATTTGCTCACTCACAATAAAAGTGAAACTCGTCAGTGTGATTTCTGTAAAGAAATATTCACTGAGAATAGTCATTTGAAAGATCATTTGCAGACTCATACTGAAGAAATGTCTTTCCAATGCCAGTACTGTCAAATTCGTTTCTTTAAAAAAAATACTTTGAGGCGGCATTTGCTCGCACATACTCATTCTGAAGAAAAATCATATGAATGTGAATATTGCAAGAAGCGTTTCATTTTCAAAAGCCTTTTGCAGAATCATTTAATCACCCACACTGGAGTGAAACCATATAAATGTGACTGCTGCGAAAGAAGCTTTTCTCAAAAACGAAATTTAAATGCCCATTTACTTACTCACACTAAACGAAAGGTATTCGAGTGTCACATCTGCAAAAAACAATACTTCAAAAGCACAAGTTTCAAGGAACATATTCGTACCCACGATGAAAATGAACGGTTCGGTTGTTATTATTGCAAAAAGGAATTTCCGTCCAAAAGCACATTAGGTCAACATGTCTGTTCTCAGTCCGATAAAAAGCCGCCTAAATGTGATTATTGTCAAAAACAATTCACGTATAAAAGCAATTTGAAAACGCATTTACTCATTCATTTTGGAGATAGAAAATACGAATGTAGTATGTGCAATAAAAAATTTGTCTCTAATAGCCTTTTGAAAGAGCACGTACGTTCCCACGTTGAGAAATATAAATGCGAGGTATGCAAAAAGTGTTTCGGTGTGAAAGGAAGTTTGGAGCGACATTTACTCATCCACACTGGAGAAAAACCCTTCGAATGTTATCATTGCCAAAGAAAGTTCAATCAAAAAGAGAGTTTGAAGAAGCACTTGCGTATTCTACACTAAAAAATAATAATTTTTAGGTATCGTTTGAAATTTTAGATGTTTACATAGATATTTCATGATTTCATCTGCTGTGAAATTTTCACATACATAAAAAAATCAAATTTTTCAAATTTCTACATACAATCAGTTTGCACCAGGGCAGTTGCCATGAGGGGATAGGGGGGAGCTTCCCCCCCTGCTTTTTCGACTTGGGAAAAAGTTGGGAAATTTTGAGCCGTGAAGATTGAAGAAAATAATAGTAAAAAATGAATAAAAATGAGAGAAAAGAAAGTAAAAGGTAATAAGAAAAGGGAAAGAACCAGGATTAGGTCGGGATTTCCCAACATGCATATTTTGGAAATCCCATACTTTAAAACTCTGAGTTGTTTGAAAACTTCAAAAAACTTTAGTTTCTCCCAAGTAAGAGAACAGTCCTGAACAGTCCACGAATTTTTGAGTTACAATTTTACCAAATTCCCAACTTTTCACTGTTTTTTCGACTTGGAAAAGTTGGGAAATTTCGGGCCGTGAACATAGAAAAAATAATAGTAGAATACAATAAGCACAGTATTATTCAAGTGTTGTTTCCTTTCATTTCTATTGAATATTCCTATATATGGTGGATATGGTGGGAGACCAAGGACCTTGGTCCAAAGTAGAATAATTCCCATTATTATTTTTATAATTACCAAAAATTATTTTTTTTGTGCATACCCTAACGGGCATAAGCATTCAGACAATCTTTGGATAGCTAAGTAAGAAAATTAATATATTATAGTAGTAGGCCCTGGTTTGCACGTCTCCAAACATAAAAAAAACTTTCCACATGCAAAAATATGCATTACAAGCAATTATGCATAAGTATTTTATGTACGGGGTTATATAATCTGTAACAAGGATATATAAATTGTAAATTGTAAAATTTCAAAATAAATAAACTATTTATTCATAAACTACACCTTACGATTTGATCTCCACAAACTTTATTCAAAAAATTGCACATGTTTCGATATCACAGTAGCTTTTTAATACGCTTTTATTAGCTTCAACTGTATGTATGTTTGTTTGTTACTCTCAAGCTCGGGATCTGTATTTGACAGAATTATCGACACTATTGCTTGAACTATTCGTGGGAAGATGGCACTGTACGTAATCTCCTTGATGTATCGACATTATTGCTTGATCTATTCGCGAGCAGATGGCGCTGTACGTAACCTCCTTGATATAATTCGAACTCACTTTACATGTATTTCTTCATTAGCCCGAGGAAGCCATTGTATGGCGAAACACGTGTTGCGTTTTTGTAAAACTGTCTAGTGAAAATCACACAATAAAGTGTTTTTAGAATACGTTAGAAAGTAGTTGTTTGTCGGATATAACTCAATATCCAGAAAGGTATTATCCGGGGAAGTAGTTGTTTTCCGATAGACATTTTCCAGACTTTACTGTGTAGGTAGTTGGGAGAGATAAATGTTTCAAAATTCTTGTATCATTGATATCCGTTTTTTTCCATGCATTAGTTGGTATTCTATCAAATTTTCATGGAATGATAACTTGCATTATCATCACAATCATCAATACTTCCATTGTGAATATTACTGGAGTTTTTCCCAACACCAAACCATTATTTTAACACCTCGACATGTGTTTCGAATACCAAGTGATCATCTTCAAGAGGAAGATGAAGATTCTGATTTTCAGCAACTTTTCAAATATTTTTGCCATATTACTGATGAGTGATATGGGTCTATAATTTATAACTTTCATTTTAATTTCAAGAACTACACCTCATTACAAATCGTGAGGTGTAGTTTTTGAAATCACTATGGATCTTCATCAAGTAACGGCCGAATCAATCAGAAAACTTTCATGTCATTTCCCGTTTTATATGTGGGTTTTATGATGGGGTGTTTAAAAATATCCGGGAATATACCTGACTGCAAGGATTTGTTCAATATCAATTCAGTTGATAATCAACAAATTCTATTGATGTTTCAGATTTTATTCTATCAATACCAGGAGATTTTCCGGTTTTTAGCTTGAGTATTATTTTCCGTATTTCTCTTTCGTTGGTTTCTTCAAGATAGAACGAGTTGACTAAAGTGAGTTTTCTGTAACTATAATCCGGTCAATCTAGACATTGAAAGGTACATAAATTTACAACAAGATGCAAACGCGTGTAATTGTTCAAAACATAGTTAAAAATAAGATTTTAAAATTACGAATGATTGCGATGCCTGGAAAAAAATTTATTCGAGGTCAAAGGTAAAAAATCTTGAAAAAAATTGTTTTTTCGCGATTTTCAGGAAAACGGTAAGTTTCATCA